AGACTTTTTCTTTTCCTTTTCTTCATAATTTTAGTTCCCCGTTAACAGTTCTGATGAGACGGGATGAAACCGGTCGACTGGTGTGTGTTTTTGTTTTAAATCTATCATGGCCTACAATATAAAATTTCTTGCTTTTTTATGCCTTAATATGCTTCTGTACTGTTTCAAACATATTTAAATATGTATATATATATATATATATATATATATATATATATATATATATATATATATGTTAAAAATATAGTTTTAATGAATGCAATATTTATGGGTTAAAGTACTCACTATCAGGAATAGTGTGTGTAAAGATAAAAGTGGACATTGAGGTCAACATCCAATGGTGAGTCTGTTTTATGCTTAAACACAATCTTTAAGTCTTATATATAAATGTGTGTGTATATATATATATATATATATATATATATTCATTCATCATTTAGTGAGTATTACTTACAGTATAAGATGTCTTGTTTCTGCCATACAACATTGGTTGAATGGGTGATAAAACACATGATAAATCTATTCACTAATATTTATTTCCTAGCCAATAATAACAGTACAAAGTTGTTGCACTTATTGTCAACCTTGACAGAATTCAGCATACAGACATACACACGTATCTTTGTAGAATTTCGCTTCTACTATGCAAACCAAGAATAAAAATCTCAAAAAATCAGAAAACATCTGTCAACAAATACTGCATTGTGTGTGTGTATATAGATCAAAGAAAAACAAATGGTAATATCAAAGAACAATGACTACAATGTATATTTTACACCCAGGAAGTTATATATATTTATATAAGGGAATAGGTATAGTATCACACAAAGAAGGAAAGAAAATTGTGTAATCTAAAATTTCTACATTTTTATCTGTCTATATTTTTGAGATGAGGAATTGCATTTATTTACACTATTTACATTGTGCAGATTATCTTGTCCTCATCTTTGTTACTATATTCACAATGATATACAATCTGACCTTCTTCAGGTGATTAGAATTTCAAACTACACACTTTATTTGCAGATTGTTCTAGTTCCACATGCCATGCCCCTTCCGGATATCTCAGTAACAGTTAATTACCTTTAACTCAACTCTCCATGTTTTGTTCACCTTTGCTGTAGCCAGGTATTGAACTCACAATACTTTGGGTTAAGTTACTGGATTCAAATAATGCTTTTATCCACTGTGTCCTTGAGGTGTATGAATTTTTGGGACATATAAATCTAATATCTCAGTAATTATTTTTTACCAGAGCTCATATTACAATTTGTTATTGTTATTGTTTTTCTCTAGCACTCTGTATTAGTGGTTCACATATTGTATTCATTTCTATGCTTGGCCAACTTAGGAGATTTTTATGGCCTAGCATATGCACTGATTCCTTAAGTTTTCATACATTCAAGTGATGTTCTCTGTCTATTATTTCAACCTAATCTCACAAGGGGTGATGATCTCTCTTTTCCTTCTAGATGTGGCCAGCCATGATGATTTTTCTATTTCCTCTTATATTATGACTTTACGGTGTTCCTGTAGTCTTATCTTAAGGGGGCAACCTGTTTCTTCTTTATATTTCTTACTACAGCTGCATGATATGATGTACACATAGTCCTTAGTTGTGTTCTCCTCTAAGGAAGGGGTCTTACTCAGAAGAGGTGTCTGAAAAAAGTTGAACCATTTTTGAAGGTCATCCTGATGTTCTATGGACCACAGATTTTTTGTATTTTTTCCAATAATTCCTTCACATAGGGTAGGCAGACTGAGGCTGTTTTCTGAGTGTTGTTATCTGTTTGCACCCTTCTCTCCCAGTTTATTGGTGCTGCTGTCATGTACCCAGGGTAGTTCTTACGTTGTAGGGTACTGCTTATACTGACCGTTTCTTGTTCATATTTCTTGTTCATTTCGACAGTTTTCAATGTTGGATCTCTATTTTAGTATAGCTACCATTTCTAATGAGGTCTTCCAGTTTTCCTGTATATTCCATTTCGTTCATCACTACAGTTGCATTGCCTTTGTCAGATGGTAGTACGATGATGTTGTCATTCCCCTGTAGGATTTTCATTGCCAGCCTCTCCAGTTTTGTGATGTTTAATTTGGGCAGCTTAGTGTACTCCAGTATCTGTCTCACTTTCTATCTTAGCTCATCTTCCTGAGCCTGAGAAATATTCAAGACTATTTCCTTGATTTGAGCAATGATGTCCAAGTATGGTATCTGCATGATGGTTGTTGTGAAGTTGAGACCCTTATTCAGTACTGAGTTCTCAGAGGTACTCAGCTGGTGTTGACTGATGTTGATTATTGCCTTCACCGAGGGTTGTGGGGAGGGGGGGTGATGGATCTTGTGCATTACCTTTCAATCTGTTAAATTTTGGTACCTGGCAAGCCTTGACTGCATCAAATTCCTGTCTGAAGGATTTATCTAGATCATGCTGGATCCTCTTTCAGTCATCTTCATTAGTAATGCTGTTGAAGGCCTCGAGCTTCTGGGAGATATCAGATTGCAGTTTTTGCTTTATCCAACAGTTGTAGTGGATTCTTTCTCAGACAAAGGCATGTTCCACTTTTTGTGTGACCAGATGAGCTCTCCTTGAATTGACAGGAAGTGTTAGTGCCAAGCCTGAAGGGATGAGTCATAAGTCTCTACATCAGTGTAAGACTGTTAGTTCAACATTCATGTCAGCTTCTGGTGGGACTTTACTAATTGTCTCCATATTTATTGTACATTGGCCCATACCAATCCTTCAATATTTGTCTATATTTCTGAGATGAGGTATTGTAATTATTTACACTATTTATATTGTTCATCTTTGTTGTCATATTTATAATGTATGCTCCAGTCTTCATCAGATGATTTGAATTTCAAACCCAACCCCTTATTTCGTCCACTGCAGTAGATTGTTCTAGTTTCACATGCCATGCCTCTTCCGGATATCTCAGTACCAGTTATCTCCCTTTAACTCAACACTCCAAATTTTGTTCTTGAGTGCAGGAACACCGCAAATATGTAATAGAAGGGGAAATAGAAAACTCAGGCATAGCTGACCACATATAGAGGGGAAAAAGGGGATCACTGCTCCCCATGGGATGAGGTTGAAATAACAGAGAACATTATTGGAAAGTACAAAAACTTAAGGAATTAGCACATATGCTAGGCCACAAAAATCTCCTAAGCCAGCCAAGCATAGACATCAATACAATATGGGAACTAGTAATATGGAGTGTTAGATAAAAACAATAACAACAACAAATTGTAATATGAGCTCTGGTAAAAAATACTTACTAAGACATTAGGTTTATAAGTTCCAAAAATTCCAATCACTTGAAGAAGGCCAGAGTGCACAAGGACCGAAACATTGTGAATATGGTGAAGACAAGGACAATAGTCTGAACAATATAAATATTGTAAATAATTACAATACCACATCTCAGAAATATTGACAAAGATTAGATATTGCATAACAGTTCAACAGTTTTTTTTTTTTTTTTTGCTTTTCAATCTAGTGAAGAGCAATACCTTCCTAATCCACAAAATAAAGTCATTAACAGATGTCTACTGAGAGGAATAGGGGTTTCACCACATGTGCATACTGACTTCCAACTTGCAAAACTACATGCTAATTAAAGGTCTTTCTGAAATGGTTAATGCTTTTCATAGAATAAGATATTTTTGCATCTAAAACTTTCCAGCAATGGCAACAAAGCCTTTGTAATCCACTGTCATTGTTGTTAACAATGTAGACTTTGCTGCAAAGTTTTGGGAAACAATCTCCCCACACTAGGTGGTGTTATTGTAGTTTCTATAGCAAGTAAGTTTTTACAGAGTCAGGATGCTAACTCCATGCCCAACTGGCTTCAAATTCAGAGTTGCTGTTCCCCTTGACTGGTTGCCAACCAAAGCTAGAGAGCTCAGCCTATCGGTAAAAAGAGATGGGTTATTTGTGTAAAAGTAAATGCAATGTTTTAGGCTGGAATTTGAACTCAACATATCCACTTTATAATCCTTTGTAGTTCCAAATAAATATACTTCACTCTGTTTCTGCTTGTACATTTTTAATTTTTTAAATTTGTATAGTTCTTATGAAACAAGATCAGCGTGCAATCAATTGGTCTGTCTGCCTGAAGTAACTTTGGTCAGTATAGCTGTCCCATGGTACTTAATAAATTTGAGGTAACAAATACTTTTGGTATAGAGTCTATCTTTCTGTCTACATGATTTTCATGTACACCCATGGAAAGTTATAGTCTGAAATTTAAATGGATTGCATCTCTCTAACAAGACATCTCATCCCAGTCTCTCTTAAGAAATCTGAGAATACTAACTAATGGCTGGCTTCTCATTTCCAAGTATGCCTGCCCACTAGAGTGGTTAGCGAATCTTTTTTATAGATGCCCATTCAGACATATTTGTTTTTCAACACTCACAGGGCCAACCTGTGGTTTATACTACAGTTATGTTAAGCAGACCTTATGTTACAGTTGGCATTATCATTAGTTAAGCAAAGCGAGTATGTTGAAAACCTCAGTCATGATGACTTTTGACTTCGTGTTAACATAACCACCAATGAACAATTTATCTACTAAATTTTAATCACAAGGTGTGGTTTAATCCATGGTATGGTTTTCAGGCATTTCCCAACAGTGCCACACACTGGGATTGTCTTTTCAAGCCAATATATTATGAAGTCACTGCCTTGATAAACTGACTATGGTGAAATTGAACCCAAGTTTTATGAAAAGAATTCTGATATTTCTAACCACTTGGTCATGTGACCACTCCAGAGACTTACTATGATAACACTAAAGACCCAGTTACTTTTATTGATATTCATGCATGAGTGTAAAGAGTAACAACAGCTTACTGTATGCCTATTGTTATTTACTTAGTTTAGCTAAAAGACACAAGTGTTAGTCACCCACAGTGTGTGTGTATGTGTGTGTCTGTGTGTGTGTTTGTCTTAGATGACACATGAATTTGTGTTGCTTCTTCATTTCAGGCTTAAGGTCACATCACATTGAAACCCCAGTTCCTGTACGATCACCAAAGTCAAGCAACATTAAGCCTAGTCAGTACTTAGATGGGTGACCGCTTGGGAATATTAGGGGATGTAAGCATGGATGTGTGAGTAGTGTAATGGATAATGGTTTGAAATTGTTAATCAGAGAGCTGGGTTTGTGTAAATACTGTTGGGAAATTTATGAATCCACCACTTCTCCCCCTGCTATGGGTTAATTAGTAATACTTGTATCACTAAACCATTGTTACCTAAAAAAACAAAAAAAAAATTCTTACAATCTAAAAATATTTTTTGGCTTAAATCAAAAGGGTTGATAAAATGTAGAAAATGAACCAACCAAAAATTCTTTCAATGAGGAATATTCATGTATTATACATCATTATGTTTGGTCATTTTATAAACAAATGTCCTATGTACCAACAAATACAATATATATAATATGTTGTCTGTTTTTTAATCTTTCATTATAAAGCTGGAGAAAAAAATCTTACAGAATTCAAAATAGAGTAAAAAAAATGTGACAAAGTTAAAGACAAGTAAAAAAATGTATTGTTGAGAGATTGTTGAAAATGTCATCTCTATAATTAACTGTCACTCTAGTCTTCAGAAAGGATATTTTTTCGACAACTATTGTTATTGCATTTTTTTGTCCTTCATTCAACCTTACCATTTATTTTCATCATTTGACAATCCCACACACTATCCACTCCCATATCTATATGCTTACACATTTAAAGATATATATATATATTTACATGGTCATACCTAACAAATAATTGGCTCTACATACATATATTCTATACATTTATATGAATTTAAAGATGGTGCGGAGGTTATTAGTACAAAAAAATGGAATCAGCAGATTATGTTCAAATTTTGATGGAGTCTGTGGCAATCATTCTGCTCTAATAGACTCAGGAAATGCATTTCTTGTTCAACAGTATTTGAAAGTAAAATTAGGATGACTAACCTTGAGAGTGCAGTCAGTTCAGGTAAGGGAAAAACTGTATTGTGGACCCATAGGGCAGGGTAAGGCCAATTACGCCCCATATATATATATATATATATATATATATATATTCATTCATACATATTTCATTAAAGATGAGAGACAATGTACTGAGATTAAACTTTTTATTTAATTTTTCTTGTGTTCAAACAAGTGTTTTCATTTCTGGACAGTGTGTGTAGAAACTGTCCAAATGTTTTGTAATTCCAAGTGCTTTTGGCTATACTTTTAGCTATTATCAAGGATGATTTTAGTTTTACTTTTTAATTGGGTGTATGGGTTGTGTGTATGTTTCTACAGTTATAGGGATGTTTTATTTTCCAAAAACAGTCAGCACATTGTGAGTGTGTTTGTAGTTAATATTACTGAGTGTTGGCTTTTTCTTTTTTATTTTTAAGGCTTCCATTATTTTAAAACTTTTTTTACATATGGATGAGGTTATTATGTTTGTATTTTTTACTAGTATGTTTTGGATAAAGTCTAGTAAGTTTGTGCGTATGTTTAAATATCTGCATAGCCTTTAGATTATCTTTGAAAGTTCCTCACTAGATGTCCTTTGGCTTTTCTTGTTTTTGTTTTGCTTCAGTTGGGATCCATTTCATGTCTGAATTTGAGTGCTGTTGATTGGGAAGATTCAGAATGTTCTGCTTGTGTGGCATGGTGCAGAGTCCTGTTGCCAGACATAGGGTTTTCCAGTAGCCACTCTCTTGACCTAGGGCAGCACTACCTCCTCAAGGCATTTGATGTAGGCCTCCATCTTTAGTCTGAGGCTCTGACCAACAAATCTGGGAGTTCTTTTCTTATTAGAACAATCAAAGTGAGTTTGCTGACCTGCTGTACCATTGTAATTACCATTAAACTCATCAAGCTCTTTCTGAATCCTCTGAATTGTTCTCAAATTAATACACACTCTAAAATGTTTGTATTGGAGTCAATGTCAAGCAGTACAGCATGTCATTTCCTAAATTTTTGGCAGAGTAAATTGTGTCATGGTGCTCTTTTTCTCACAGATGGTGCCCAGCTGACCTTACTATACTGTGCAGTCAACAAAATCAAAAACAGACAAAACACATGCATGAAATTAGAAATATAATATGGCGATAATTTAGCCATCGCATACTGCATATCTTAGACTCAAAATTGTAGATCAACTGTAGAAAGTTCATGTTTTGTTCAAGCACTTTTCATCATTTCAGTCATTGTCAAATTTTGCTGGTATATTATTTTAAACTGTGTATTAATATGCATATAAAATAATAATAATTCCTGTAAATATTTCGTACATTCTTTTCTGATGCCATCTGGCTCTGTGTAACTATTTTACCTATGATGTCATTTATAAGATACACATATATATAAATTAGTTTAAATTGTACTTTTCCAAAAAATTTCAGGATATACCCAATGTAATTTTGTCAATCACTTCTTGATAATTACTAAGATGTTCAAAAGTACTTGAACAAAAACAGAACAAAACATGAAGTTGAAACAGTTTATTCATAATTATGATTTCAATGTACAACATCTTATTTGAAAATTGGAAAAAATACAGTAAAAAATTGAAAAGACTGACCTTGTCAGTTAAATTTAACAAAACTTGTTTGATTGTATTCTTTCTGATTAAATAGGTTCTGCTTAAATGTAAGTGTAGGTGTGTATGTGCTTATATAAAGTTTAATGTTCTGATGGTCAGCAAACTCAAAGAGCAATTTGAAGATTTCATGAGTTCAGTCCCTACCATGTAGTCTAATACAATGACCCAGTACTAGAAATACCTATACTTCATAAAAAGTGCTGTATGTATATATATGTATTTTCTAAAGCATTAATGGATTTAGTTTTAATTCAACATTTTTATTACTTCAAATATTATTTTTAGTGGATACCAATGTTTGAAATAGATGTCCCTTTTTTATTTTTAAAAAGACATACTTGAGAAATCTTAAAGAAAATGCTGGATAGCACAATTTTATTATTAAGATTTCTTGAGGGTAGAGAGACACAATACACACTGTTTGAAAATAAAAAGGGATATTCACTAAAAATAATGTTTGAATAATAAAAATGTCACATTAAAAATATATCAATCACTTTTAAAGAAGTGATTGATTTATTTTTAATCTGACATTCAGGGAAGCTTGCTTAGGCTGCTTAGCTACAGAGTGTCACAGCCTAGAAAGGTTCTATTTTCCCTTCTAAGGAAAGCACAATTCCTCATTCAGATTTTTCTTGAAAGCCCATACCTTACTCATTTTCATATCTGAAATGTAAACAGAAGTTTACATTAAAACACCTCTGTTTACATTTCAGATATAAAGAAAGAATACTTGCTCAATATGGGAATATTTTCTTCAGTTTTGCTCTTAGTGGCTAATAATTAGATAAGCCACTGTTGATGTGACAGTTTTCACAGAAGTGAAAGATAAGTTTTATCAAGAGCAGTTTCTTTTTTTTTCTGGCAATTAAAAATAAAATCAGAAGTTATTGTACTTCTAAAAAAAAAATTATGGTCCATTTGAAGAATGATTTTTCAACCTAAATTTTAATAAAATAATTTGAGTATTGAAATGCCATCAAGAATAAACAAAACAATTTAAATAAGATTAGAAGAAAAGAAAAGTCCTTTTTTTGTTTGTGCATAGTGAAGAACATGTATATTTGCTTCATAGAATTCATAAGTGTGTATATTTTAAATTGACTTACTGCATAAATCAAACATTCATTGACTGATTAATATATGTTCAATTCATAGAACAGTATGTGCTCAAAGCATCAAGCAGTTGTCCTTCTCCAAGAGAGGTTGCCACTCAAGGCTTCCATACTATATACTCATAGTTGGAGATTTTAAATTTAAAATTTTCCTTCTACTAGACTGGTTGCCATGCAAAGCTATAGCACCCAGACTGTCTTACTATTTACCCATAGCTGATAGGGAAAAGAGGTGCATTCATACCTTTCCCCAGGGTATTTGCACATGAGTGAACATAATGAACTTGACTGTAATTCAAACTTTGCTTTCTGATTCCTCAATCTTAGCTGCTATCCATTAATCCACCATGCATCCAAAATCAACATCACCGTTTGCAATGATGGATATACAAGTCTCCATTATGAAACTGAGGCCAACTCTTTCTATCGCAGACAATCACCTGGATTTACCACTTAACCACTTAGAGGATTTGCATATTTGTGTTCAAACCAGCATATAGCCAGTGACAAGAAATAAGTGTTAAGAAGGGGAGAAGGGATTATGTTTGCAGTGATGGTGTGACCCAGTGAACTGTTTGTTTTTCTAGGCAAAACATTGTTTGCAGTTGTGATCACGCTTTTGCAGATGAAACTGTGTCACCTTGTTTAAGCTTACTTCCTGTAATCCTATAGTGAAATAGTCATTGTGTAAATTATTTTATATATATATATATATATATATATATATATATATATATATATATTTAAAAGTATTTGATATATATATGTGTGTGTGTGTGTATATATATATATATATATATATGTGTGTGTGTGTGTGTGTGTGTGTGTGTGTGTGTGTGTGTGTAAACTCAAAGTTGTGCTAGTGGTGAGGAATGATGTGTGTATGTATATATATATCTATCTATCTCTCTCTCTCTCTATATATATATATATTATTTATTTTATGATATTAAAACAAAAACATGTTAAAAAGCACTACACAATTACAATTATATCTCAATTGTAATGTTTATTATTGTCATTGTATAGCAATTTTTTAACATGTTTTTGTTTTAATATCCTAAAATAAATAATATTTAGCTCTACTTTGTATTGATCCCTCTTTTAAATTAAATGTTATGTACAGTGGAATTATACTTCATTTGTTCTCATTTTACCTGGATATATATATATATATATATATATATGGATAAAGAGTGCACAGTATCATAGAGAGTTTTTATGGATATAGATATAGAAATCAACACTGCATTGAAAGTGTCAATTTTTCTCTATGCAGTGTTGATGCAACAAATAAATACTTAAATTTTGGTTTAAAAATGACCTAGTGTGACTGCCATATTCCTTGGATGTAGTTACCATCAAAATGTTTTTGA